GCTGCTTTAGAGTACAGAATTCTAGAAAAATTCCACCAAAACATTGCCCATGAATGACTCTAAATCTCAGTGGGTTTTTTGTTGTTGTTGTTGTTGTTGTTGTTACGAAAGCTGAAGAAATTCATCCGGTCCAAACCATTTATCTCTGCTTTAGAAATTCATTGGGCGCTTTTCCCGGGCAAAATTCATTCTGGAAAGATCTCTGCCGCCAGCCGCTGATAGCCGCTCAACCGTTAAGTCCACAGCCATCCACATTAGAATGGGTCTTACTCGACTTTGACCCCAATTCAACTGCATTCTAGAGACAGTCCCACCACGTTGCCAGGTGTTTTGGCTGTCCCGTAGCTTGGAGGCTGTCTTCGGGCATCACGCTCAGCTGAGGCAACACAGGGCAGTAGAAATGGCGGTGAAGTCAGACAATGCCCTCCTAAGGAATGGAGCTTTTAGCCTCGAACGAAAGCCAAGCCGGGAGGACAGAAGGGAGCCTTATGAAATCTAAGACTTTGGCCTCCTTTGTGTGGCTCTGACCAAATTAAATTGGTTAGAGAACACACTAAGGAGTTGGGCTATCAAGAGCTCATTAATTTCACCCACAAAGGCATAAATCCATCCAGCTTCTGGATGGCCAGCCAAGGGCTTGGACCCAATTATGCTGGCCTTAGTGGATTTTTCACCTTCCTGCTCCAGATTTGGAGCCTACAGTATGAATTTAGATTGTTTTTTTCCTCTCCTTCCTCCTCACTTTCTGATTTTTCTCTCTTTAAAAAGCACAAACCTCCCTCAAAATTGGATTCTCCCCCCCAAATAATTTGTTTTGTTTTTCTTTCAGAAGTAATGATTTTTTTAGGATAATTAAATCCAGCCTAGTAAATAACTCTTTGGCACCAGGCTATTTTTGTTATTTGTATACCATATATTAAAAATCTGAAAGAGGATCCCAATGGCACACAGTACTACAACAACAGTTAGATAAAGGCCAAATAGACACAAATCCAAAGATCACAAACTGGGATGTTAATTGTTGGCAAAGTCTGGCAGAAAAACAAAACAAAAAAATATAAAAGGTACCTGAAATGTGTAAGCATGTGACCTTGGTGTGTTACAAGTGGGAGAGCTTTCCTTTGCACCAATCTGAAGAAAGGAAAAAATGATCAGGAGTTAATACCTGCTAGATCAGGTGTCTTCAAACTGGCCAATTGCAAAGGGCTCTGAAATTTAAGATAATATGCACATCAAAAAAATCACTGGTTGTTCATCCATGACTACATTGCTCCATAAGAACTTCAGGTCTTCAGCTGAGCTCAGACACCATGCAAAGCCATGTTTTAACTATGATTTGTTAAGTAAGCCACAGATATTGTGCTGAGCCCTCAACGTGATTTACAAACCACCATGGCTGGATTCGCACAACACAGAATGTAGAATCCAAGCAAACCACGCGATGGTCTGGTGTAGCAGCTAAACCCAAGCCAACATCTCTCCCAAACTCAGTCAATAAAGGCCAGTGGGGAGCTAACCAGGGTTCTGAACTGATCTTAGATTTTGCCTCTGTTGACTTGCCTTGAAGAGATAGCTCTACTTGTACTTTGAGGAATCTTTAAGTACAATATTTGATTCCTTTTGTGGCTAAATAGAGAACTGCAAAAAAAAAAAGACAAATGGTAGTAAGATTTTTGGTACGGGACAATCAGCTTCGAACTCCTAAGGCTTCCCCTAATTTGGTGACTTCCAGATATGACCAGATTATATCTTCCAAATTTTCGGCCAGCACTGGACACATTGGCTAAGCTGCATCTGGTTAGCGAACGCTGGTTTGACATTATAGGCCAAGTGGATTACTTTTTCCAACAAGTGTAGTCTTTTCTCTGCTTTCACATTGCACGCTTCTCTTCTTTCACCCCTGCTCACCCTTTCAGCCCCCCCCCCCTCCGATCTGACTTTCTTTTGGTTGACTTCGTTGTTTGTTAGCTTCTGCTAAGTTGGGATGAAGCTGGATTGAACGGACCTGAGTTGGATGAGGATGAAGAGCAAGATGGCGCCAAGCAGGTCTTCCATGGAAGGATTCTCAGGGTTTCAAAATATCCACCTTCTAGCTTGAAATCTAAGGCTTCCCTCCTCAATTAGCACTGAGTGGTCATTTACTGGCTTCAAAGTTTGTTTAACCTGGCCTCTTAATATGCTTGAGGGCTGGATTTGGGTCTTAATTTCCCGCTTTATGATATCAGTGGCAACCAAGTTATCCGGTTGCAAAAAAGTTTCCTGGAGGAATCTACTGCAGCTAAATTCCAAGCACCTTGTTTTGCTTGTGAGGATGTAGCTTTCCGCTTATAATTGAGTCATTCTTAGGGACCATGTGTTCTGACATGTCACTGGAAGGAAGGAATGCCTTTTAAAAAAAAAACAGTTTTGGGAGGAACAAGAAATAACCCCGTGTATGTGTGTGTAAGTAGAGTGTAAGCAAGAACACACCAAATGCCCCCAAGCTATAGAATGTCGTAAATGTTATGTTGGGAGGCAAAGACAGATCCTTTTAGCAACATGTCAGCAGTGTTGCTAATTTAGAAGGCAAGTAATTCACTCAAGGCCTATTCCTTCCCCCCCCCCACCCCAATATTTTTCTATCTTTCCTCCCCTCCTCCTTCACCTGGTTCTCCTTCCAGGCAGATTAAAAATTCTGTTTGAAACGTTAAAAAAAAAAGGACAGAAAATAAAGACACCCGAGTCCCAAATGGAAAATTGAGCCTTAGGTTGGCCTCTGTTCACTTAAATACAGGTAGTCCTCGCTTTACGGCCACAACTGAGCCCAAAACTTCTGTTGCTAAGCGAGACAGTTAAGTGAGTTTTGCCCCATTTATTAAGTGAAGTTAGTTAAGCGAATCTGGATTCCCCATTGATTTTGCTTGTCAGAAGATCGCAAACGGGAATCCCCTGACCCCTGGACACTGCAACTGTCCATCATCATCATCATCATGTTGGAAGGGACTTTGGAGGTCTTCTAGTCCAACCCCTGCAAATATGAGTCAGCTGCCAAGCATCTGAATTTTGATCATGGGACCACGAGGATGCTGCCAAGGTCGTAAATGTGAAAAAAGGTCGTGTCACATTTTTCAGTGCCATCGTAACTTTGAACGGCCACTAAATGAACTGTGATAAGTCAAGGACTGCCTAGAGTGGGAAACCACAACCAAGTGGAACCGAGGGCTTGTGTGGGTTTCAAGTCCAGGTTGATGGTGGAATGCAGGACTAGAGAAAAGGTCTGACAGATTTCCGGGGTAATATGATTATTGGCTGGGCCATCAATTGTACTTCTTTCAGTTCTTTCCTGCTGTATTTCAAACTGAAATTTTCTGGAGATGGCGGGGATCTTGGTTTTACCTGTTGAAATTTCTCAGAAAGTTCTGGACTCCACAGTGACAAAAAAAAAACCAATGGGGCTTCCCAGAATGATTGTGTAACAGAAAACGAGCAATGCCGGTGCTGGGAACCAGTGTGCTGGGGGCCACCTCTTCCAGTTATCTTTTCTCACGAGCAAAGTCTTACAAAACTAAACTAAACTGTGGCTAGAGATGCAAAAGCTGAATCTCGCTGTAGGGAAGCTGGAGCTAGAAGAGAATTCATCTCCGCTGCATTGCAAGAGGATTGGAAAAGGCCGAGAAGCATGGGATATATAGTTTGTCTTTCCATGCCTCAAAGAACAGAGGAAGACAAATTGGATCCAGATCATAGCAGCCGTGTAACCATACTTGTGCCCTCTCTGCTTTATGTGGTCTTTGCGCGTAACAAACATACAAATGCAAATCAGCATTGGGCTTGAGGCCTTGCGGCATCGTATTGCAGGAGGACTCTCTGCAAAGGAAGTCACCGGATGTGGAAAGAAAACAAAGATGCAGTTATAAGATTGTGTTGAAAAATGATATGCCAGCTGGGCAGTTGCTCAATTTTTCCCACTGGTGCCGGAGGGCTGGTTCATCTCAGTTCAGCCTTCCGAAAACCATTCTGCCTTGCCAGGCAAATACTGTACTTGCAGTGACGGAGACCATGTTTTAACACTATCACAAAAAGTCATAGAAGGATCCTAGAAATCTGGAGTGTTGGCTGTGAAGGTCACAACGCCAGTTGCTGCAACACCAAGCACACAGATGTGTGAGTTGTGTGCCCTTACATTAGGGGATCCCCAGTTCTGCAAAGGGATACATGGTTTTATCTTGGATCCTTATGTCTAACTTGCTCCCTGCAAAATATTAATAAGACATTGAACGGATTTTATAGGAAGAGTTAAATTCTCTGCCACTCAGAAGAAGTTTATAAACCCGCTGCTTTTCATCTCTTTTTTCCTTTGGTGAGGGAAGGCAGAAAGCCACCACTAATCCAGCATAAATACCCACGGAGTCAGTCTGGAAGGTGGCATCAAAATCCCTTATCAAAACCTGGAATCTGAAGAGGGCTTTAAAAACGACGTAACCTGTCAAAACTCTTGCCAGCAAAAACATTCCAAAGCTCCCCGAGCACGGAGCTGTTGGAGTACCAAATGGGTTGGTGGCATTAGCAACAACGAAGGGGAGAGGCAGGCAAGAGATGGAAAGGGCAGTGGGCAACTTTGGGGCAAGGCCTTTTATTTGCAGCAGCCCCTCAGATATTGGAATACTGCTACCCCATCAAGTTCAAATGATGAAAGAGCCACGTGCAAGAGGCAGCATATGGTGGACAGTTTGAATGTCAGAGTGATCTCCAGGTTTCAGAAGTGGCATGGAAAGCTAGCCAGGATCCTGTCTCCTAAGGAGAGCGTCAGGCTTCCCTTAGAGCAGCAGCAGAATGCTATTCCTTGCACTCTTTGATCCCTATGTAAAAGTCAACATGTTCCAACTTTATTATTATTATTATAACCAGCTTGTATCATGCCAGACCACTTGGCAACCAATCTGGTGTGCTGTGATCTGTTTACAACTTTCTAGGCTCACCCAGAGGGGAAAGGAAGGGGGGGGGAACTACAGTGCATACAATGCGGCTAAATATACAGATTTATTTATGTATCTTATTAAAACATAAGACAGCAAAGAAAAGCCAAGACATTTTGCTATAATGGTTGCACTTGCTTTGAATTTTTTTTCACCTCCAATTTTTTTGAAATCTTCCTCAACCTCAAAATAAAATAAAAAGTATCACCCAGCCTCAATATTTTGGTCATCTAGGCAGGACTAAACATAGGAAAAGAATTGGGACTGCTGTCCCTAATGGCCGTCTTCTGTCACATTTATCCTTACGGCAATTCTTTCTACAATTTCGTCTGTATCCTGACATCATTGTGTATTTCTCAAAATGTCCAGCCCTCCAAAAAGGAAAAGGAATGCATACCGAGCTCCCTAAATCAGACCGGAAGCTTGGGAAATTAACATCCTTGAAGGACTTCCCATAGTTACTTTATAATTTCTCCCAGAAAGTAATCATACTATCAAATTGGTTCCAAACTGGGCAGTTATTCACACCTATATAGAGGCATTCCTCTGCATCTGGACCATTCTGAAATTGTAGAAGAGAGAAACTAGGCCCGCCACAACTTTTTTGGTTTCTACTTGGCAATAGAGCTGCTGTCTATCGGACGCAGATGGCTGCCAGTGCGAATTCACTTCCTGTTCTAACTACTTTCAACCCTCAGCCTCTTTAGGGTGAGCAGAAGTTAAAGAGTATCCCACCATTTCATCCTTGACCTGCTGTTGGGGTCAGAGGAGGACAAAAAGCAAAAGTCACCTGCTGCAAACGGATAAATTAAGGTGTCACAGACAGGGAAGGGGACAACCCCTTATGTCACGTGGCATTTTGTTTTGCCCTTTGAAACCCCACAAAAGTCTGAATGGGATTGCTTCCATCTTCAGCACTGTCCTGAGTCAGATCGTTGACCGTTTCCAACAATCCCAAGGTTGTATCCTTGATTTCAGCATCTCCAAAGACGGGACTTGGTTATTCACCTCTGCAGTTTCTTGTGTACCTATACGTCCACCTCTTTGTGTATGTGTGAGGCAGAGAATCATGTTTATCCTCCCCTTTCACTTGGCAACGATCGCAACAAAGCCAGCTGTCTCAGACGAAATCAGTTCATTCGTATGGAAGCTGCGCCTTGATCTGGTTTTGCACGACCTTCCGACATTAAGGCTGGGATCTTAAGGTCAAGCACGAAGAGTTTAAATAATATACAGTTCTTTCCATTATAATGGTTATTAAGGGCATGTTTAAAAGCACACACGCAAGTCCCAAGGCCTGGTAGAAAACTCTAAAAACCGCTGGCACCATTTCTTCAAATTGAGCTTGGAAGCAGACATCACGAGCGTAACACGAATGACGTGCAAGAAGAGAGAAGAGGGGATCTATTACTTAAACTATGCCAACATGGATATGTCGTTTTCAACTGACACGGTCTCGTCTCCTAGCCCTAACGCAAAATCCAAATGGTCGGATTAGATTTGGTCAGTATAATTATTTCAATCATCCTATCCCAGGCTTCCTTTGGGGAGAAATATAGGATCCTGCCTTTTCCTAAGCCACTTCAATTGCTCTCCAGAATTTCAGGTAAGAAGCTCTGTTAGCCCTGGCTGGAGATCTGAGAATTAAAATGGGGTCCTTCTGCAACCAAAGACATTTATGGAAGGCCCTGAAGCGTTACCCCTTTAGAAATCACTCCAGGTCAAATTAGCCACTCCTAATAAAATGACTTACCGGAAGAATTTTTCGCCCAGGTATAAACTGGCTCTAAGCTGCGAAGCACTTTTGAAATATTAAGGTAAATCTGAAAGGGCCCCAAATCTTCAAACTAATGAGGATCAAAAAAAAAAATGAATTGGAACAGAGAAGAATTCTGGGACCATTCTCAGCATATTACACCATACTCATTTCCTTGGGCTCAGAAAAGAGAGAACGTACGGATGCGTTGCCCACAACCATCATGTGGGCTAGTTCAGAACACAAGATGGAGGACATAAGAAACCGTAGGTTTATGTTACTCCATCAACCTGCCTACAGGACTGGCAGCAGCTTTCCAAGGACTAGACAGACTTTTTTTTTTTCTGATCCCACCTATCTAGGAGATACCTGAGCATGCAATATATGGGAAACACGGGTTCTACAGATAAGCTCTGATGCCCAGCCTCCTATTTGAATCAGAGGAGAGATTTCCTGGGATCTCTGAGATGGAAAATCTGATTCAGCCAATGGAAGGACGCTACATCTGGGTTTTGGGTTCTGTGTTATGAACTATCCTCTTTCTTTCTCTTGGATTGTTACTATGCCTCCTGCGGGGGAAAAAAAGAGACATTTGCTTCATTCAGCTGCAGAACACCAATGGCAAATGGAAGGGGGTCCTTTGGGCAGGCAGGGTTCAGAGTTCAAGCCTGATGTGTTTTCTTCCCCTCCTTTCTCCGTTGCAGATAGTCTGGGCATTAAACACCCACAAACATGCCCATAAAGTCAGATCCATTCTGAATGGTAACGGGGGCGCCAGCGCTGTTGTCCACAAAGATGGAGGTGTATTGTCCAGCCTGTGCCATAAAGGAACATGGGAGAAAGGAAGGAGAAAAATAAACACGACATCCATGGATGCGGAAACTCCGTTGGCTTAATCAACAAATCAGAATAACAGAATTGGAAGGGACCTGCTCAAGCAGGAGACCCTATGAAGGCTGCCCTCGGCTTGCAACAGTTCATTACGGAATGTTTGAAGTTAACAACATCACTGAACAAAGTGACTTAGGATCATTTTTCACACTTAGATTTGTTGCAGCATCCCCATGATCGCATGCTTGACAACTGGTTCCTGTTTATGACCGTTGCAAGGCCCCGGGCCACGCGATCAATTTTAGCGACCTTCTGACCAGCACAGTTAACGGAGATGCCATGGTTAACTTCACAACTGCAGCGATTCACTTAACAACTGCGGCAAGAAAAGTCGCAAAATGGGGCCGAATTCACTTAAAAACTGTCTCGCTTAGCAACAGGAATTTTGGACTCAACTGTGCTTGCAAGCTGAGGGCTACCTGTACTGTTTCAGACAAATGGTTGTCTAGTCCAATCAAACTTTCTCTGGAGCTAGGACAGTGGTTCTCAACCTTTTTAATGCCGCGACCCCCACCCGGTCGTAAGTCGAGGACTACTCAACCGGTCGTAAGTTGAGGAGTACTCAACTGGTGCAGCACCGTTTGCAGAATGGGACTTTTGGAGGGCTCAGCAGGGCAGAGACAGCCTGGACAATTCCTATTGGCTTTTGAAAGCCAATAGAATCAGACTCTATTCAAGAGAGTCTATTCTATGGGCTTTCAAAAGCCAATAGAATAAAAGGGAGTAGCACAGCTAAGGAAAGGGGGAAACAAAATGGCGGACTGCGTTGTTTGGCAACCCCTGTGAAATGGTCGTTCGACCCCAAATGGGGTCCCGACCCACAGGTTGAGAACCACTGAGCTAGGACTTGGAGATGACAAAGCAGTAGGCAGGGATGACACCCGTAGAAGAAGACAGATCATCCATGGGCACCAACATGAATAAAATCTTGGGGGAGATGCTAGTGATATGAAATTATGTGTCCAGTGAGCAGAGCTGGGCTATCCAAGGGGTCTCTAATGGATTCTCAAAACAACTCATTGAATCCTGATGACATCCCATTCAGTTGGTCACAAAAGATCTCTGACATAACCATCTACCTGGTGTCCTCTGATACCCAGCCTTTAGTTAGTGCAAATTCCTAGAATGACCTGGTTGGAACTGGACTCACCGGGCAGGACAACTGGACACACTTGGAGAGTGTCTGGCCGGCGGCATTTGAACTCAGAAAAGAGATAATGGGCAAAGTTCCTGGAACTCAGAATTAATCTGGACTCTCTGTTGCACAATCCTTACCTGGAGTTGGAGCAATCCATGAACATAAACAGTAAAAACTTTACTGTTGCTTTCCAGCCCAGCAATAACCTCCAAAGATCTAGACAGGTGCAAAAGAAGGAGACAAGGCATTTACTGGCTGGGATGGCATCAGATAGGAAGGAGGGTCTCAGATTGACAAGCCTGGCTGTATTTCACAGATTAAAACAGTGACATGTCTGGTAAACGGTGGCACTTATGGAAACCCTTATTCTCCCCTCCCCTTCACAACATGACTTCTTTAGCCAATTCTGGTGTAGGTGTCTACAAGCCTAGTTTGAAAAATAAAAAAGGAAGCCTCTTCCAAACTGACCAGAAGTTTACTATGCACCGTTCCTGCAGAAAGAAGAGGTAGGAGGAACCGGATTAAAATGCCAAAGGTAATTTGTGGTAGGTGTCCAGTGTTCCTGGATAAAACAGTCCCACAATTCGGGCAATTCAAATATACTCACGTGTATCGATGGCAGAGGGATTCAATGCAGATCAAGACCCGAACGTTGTCTCTTGCTCGAAGCTGCAGTTTACTTTTCAGCTCACTGTGGTCTTGGAGAGAGAGAGAAAGAAAAACAGTGTTGAAAAGAAAGCCTTTCTCTTTTAGCGTTCAATCCAAAAAAGTAACGGCCTTCCGGTTGGTGTGAGATTTCTTATTTCCCATTTCTCATTTCCATACTTGCTGACCATGAATCCTGGGCCTGGTTGAAGCAAATGACAATTTACCGTTCCTCTCCCCCTTCAGAAATTATAAATATGGTTGGGAGCAGAAACCAAGACACCGAAGGAGAAGAAATAACTGGATTCGTCCTATGGAGCAATTTAACAAAAGAAGTGAAACTAAGTTCCGAGCCCATAAGCACAATGAGGAGCAGGCCCTTTCTTAAATTAAGACCTATCCCCTTATTCTAACCCAAATCTTCTTTTCACTTCCCAGAGTCAGCCACATGGAAAACACAAAGCAAGGCTTATCATTTGGGAAAGAAAGGAATCTGTTATAAAATAGCAGAGAAGCCTCTGATGGATAAATGGCAAATGGGTCTTTTTTAAAGGGGCATGAAGGAGAGTGGAAGATGAACTTATTACATTTAATTGGGGAACGAGCTTATCTGGTTTTTTTGGGGAGTGTAAGATAAATTGGCTTTGGAGATTGGACTTATTGTATTCAATGAACCAGCAATTGATAAGAGATGGTATTAAGAAACAAACATGGATATTTGATCCGGGACCCATTAGGGTTAATATTTGGGATGATTTGGGATTGAAGCCGTGGTAAATGTTTTTTGAGTTGATTACAACAACAGTTTGCTAAAAAGGGATTTTTGGAATTTCAATTTTGCCTTTCTTTTATTATTAATAATAATAATCCTTATTACTTTTATATTTTTATATAATATGTTTATTATTGTTATCGTTTTTCCTGTTAACTATTTTGTTATAGTATATAGATGACAGGGAAGCGGAAACTGAGAAAGATAAACAGCCCAGGGAGGATAAAACAAGCTTGGTTAAAACAATTTGGATGCTTGGAGCTGTCCAAGGTCCTGAGATTCAGAAGAACACCATTGTGTAACTAAGCTATTGCATGGATCCTATCCTTGGTCATCTCCGTCATCGATTAGGTGGCATTGCTTTGACTTCCTCACACAAATAGCACACACTGTGAACCTCATACACTCCCTCACTGTTCTCTTGAGAGGCAAGCAGTGGACAAATTTAGCCACTGTTCCTTTTCTTGTCCACGAAATGTTTTTTTATGCAACATGGTAAACATGAAAGTCACTGATAGTAAAAATCTAAGCTTTAAATGTATTAGGATCTGTAACTATTGGGGCTTCTTATGCACATGATTATGAGCAGCAGCAACCAATAAGTATTAAGTGTTCGAAAATAATGGTGCAGGATAAAATCAACCAGAAGAGTTTTAAATATGTCTTTGAGCAAAAAAATGTATACAAAACTCTTCCACTGATTTTATCCTGCTCCATTTTTAGAGCAAAATACATCTCGTGCTTTTCTCCCCTGGCCATGATCTTTGGCAGCACAGATTTTTTTTTTGGGGGGGGGGCAATATTCATTCTCTTAAACCAGAGAATTGCCCGTGGAAAGAAAAATTAGTTTTCGAACCCATACATAAATAAATGTTATCACTCACCTACATGGACGTTGGCTGAAAATTGATAAATTCCAGATACTGAAGCTGTAAATCTGCCAGTTGTTAAGTTTAATCCAGATCCTCGGAGAAAAGCTCCTTTGGCTAAAGGCTGTGTGAGAAAGGGAGGAAAAATAGAATTGAAATATTGTTCCCACCAGTTCAACCATTCTTTATTTCCATTCCATAATGTGTAAGAGGTGTAATGAGCTAGGTTTATATACACTATGTGCTGTTTCTGTTGCCTTATTTGGGAAAGAATTACTTTTGCATGAACAGGTAAGAACCTAAAACTCAACCACTGGTGATAGTGTTGAGCTATTTCTTGGCAACAATATTGAAGTAATTTACTATTGTTTTGTTCCTTGGTGATTTCTTGGTGGTCTCCTATCCACAGTCTATGTCTGACTCTTGCCTTGGCATTGAAGGCAACATATCTGCTGAGTTTCCTAAAAATTGTTTTGGAAGCTGCCAAATCCTTGCAGTCAAGCAACCCGGGGCAACATATGTCAGAGAAAACAAGATTTTGCACAATCCTAGATGATTTTTATTATTATTATTATTACTTGCAGAAGTTTGGAAAGATTTTGCGCTGGGAGTTACGAAAGGGTCAATACCATTAGCCTGGCCTTTGGGCTCTCTCGGCTAAGGCAGAGAGGAATTTTAGCTCAGTGGTTTGAACATCTTTATGTTCAGAGGTCTGCAGGTTCAATTCCCAGCCTTTCAAATTTAAGAGGGATAAAAGGAGAGGCAATGGGGAAGGGGGGGAAAAATCCCCAAAACCTTTCAAAGAAAAACAGCAGAGTCGAATGGACAAATCCTTAGACCTGCTGTTGTTTTTAAGTCAGCAAAACATTTGTGGGATTTCAAAAGGAGCCAAAAAAGTCTTTTTTTTTTTTTTTTTAAAGATGACTAGCCCAAAGTGTTTCAAGGCAAATTTCACACCTCCCTTAAGCAACCTAATTGCTTTCTTCTGCAGAGGCAAAGCTCCGGGACTTTATTTTCCTTGTTACTTTATAAAGAGTGTCGGGCAACTGAGCAGGCCTAAAGCCGCTGGTTTAGCAGCTTCCCGACAAGCGAATTTGCTCTAGACAGGCTGCTTGCAAGGAAGATTATCGGACTTAAGTTAAAATAAACCCAGTGTGGCATGTTTATTGTTAGTTTTGGCTCCTGCGGTGCGGGTTTGGCTCAAATTCAGGGGGGGGAAAGAGAAAATGAACTTTACTGAACTTTTATTTTTTTGGGGGGGGGAATCTATTAATTTGGCATCTTATTATTGCCATGTCAGAATTGGGGAAACTAAATTGGCAACGTGAATTGAAGATGCTATCCAAATAATTTTTTTTTTTAAAAAAAGAAGGAAGATTAAGACGTTGGCAGGATTAACCATTCAAGCTAGTGTTCCTAAGAATATAGGAAACCCTCACTTTTTCCTTTTAAATCCTATTTACTATCTACTGCTTGGTCATTATATAAAGTGGCGGGCAATCAGGCTGGGGAAAGATTACAGATTATGACACATTTGGGATCAAACCGCTCTAGTGGGAGCAGAAAAATAGGGCCGGGTATTAAAAAGTTTGAGGCTCACCCATTTCTTTCTCTTGCATCGTGGTCCTAAATTGAAATGGGCTCATGCAATGAACTGTTTTGTTGGGGAGAAAAAGGAGGGTTGCAAGCCTTAAACATATATGAAACAATCAATCTGTAATGTCTGCCAACTGATGTGCGCTATTGCCGTGAAAGGCTCCTGTGTTGAATGATCACTGATTTTCAAACTTGGCAACTTTGGGATTGAGTGGACTACATCTCCCAGATTTTCCCAACCAGTATGCTTGACTGGAAAATTCTGGGGGTTGAAGTCCACATATCTCAAAGTTTGCCAAGTTTGAAAAAACAAAACAAAAACCTGGTTTAGATAGTGGACGATGAAGTAATTTGACTCAGGGTTCTCAGTCTTGACTTTCTTCACAGTTCTTTGATCCCCTTCTGAGGTTTACTCCCTCTTTTCTGGAGATGGCAGTGCTTTCTGACAGCTCCAATTTCTTGCCTGTTTCGTTAAAACCAATTAAACAAAAATCAAGAGGCAGTGACTTAATTCCCCTAAAAACCGCTGACTTGAAAATAGAAAGCAGTTTTCCGGCACCAGTAAATTACCGCTTGAAAAAACATTCCTGTTTCTTCACGTCTTGCTCCCACTCTCTCAACACACTCACAAAGAGAAAGAATTAATGTGGTGCTCTAGGAAGGAATGGAATTAATCGTGATACGCTAATAGGTTAAACTGCTCGCCAGTTAGAACAATCTGCCAGTTTCCCTGACACAGCCCTTAAGCCTCCAAGATTCCAAAATTGGTTTAATTATAGCTGGGGAAGGGGGATAATAGAGCCATGAGCCACCCTGTAAACCCCCCCCCCCAAAAAAGTGGGTCTTTTGTTTCTCCCAAATGACATGAATACACCTTCAGGAGAAAATGGAATGCTGAATCCTTTTGGATTCAAACACTACAACATGCAGTCACCCTCCTTTGTTTAATTCTGGGCAATGGACAAAACAAAATTATTTTATTTCCACCTCTTTACTGATATTTCTTTTTTTTTTTTTTTAAATAGTCTCGAGCGCTTAGGAAGAAAATGTGAGACACAAATCAGATCTCAGCCTGGAGCCATCCTACATTTCTAACTGATTCTACTGTCCCAGAATGCTTGACTGCTGATGACTACATGCAGAGCATGCAGGGGTTTTGGGCAACAGTATATAAATGGAGTTTTCCGCGATCTTTTACTTCTGACCACCCAGTCTAGTCTACAGCTCTGGGATTTTCTGCTGGTCTGCATCAGATATAGAATCCCTTCCCCTTAATTTTGTTTTGAAACACTCTTTCAACCAACATTGGGGTGCCTGCTGAGTTCCCAATATTCTTCTCTGCGTGCTTCAGATGACTTCTGTTGGGTGACCTAAAGATCAACATCCCTAAATTAAGATGGTCATCCCTCTCTAAGATAGATGTGCTCTCCTTCAGAGATGTTCTCCAAATGGCTTAGAAAAAGAAAACATGTTTTTTAAAGCCAGCCCTATAATTGCACTTTGCAAACGCAGAGCAACCGAAGTACGCTGATGGAGGATCAAACGCTCATTAAGAGACCTGTGTGGAGATGGCTGTGAACGCAACCACCAATGAAAGTGTTGAAACCTTCATGACAATAGCCTCGTTTTCTTTTCATCACGACCAGCCAGGACTCTGTCATCGGGCTGGCTGGGCCCACAGGCAGCCGTGCCTCGGATACATCGTTGTAGGAATGCTCTAACCCAATCTGGCTGAGGCCCGCTGAAGATGGCACAAATGTGCTGGCTGGCAAGGCAGGCGTCTGAGAATCTGCCAAGCCTAATTAGAAAAGCACAGCCCAGCTCAATTCAACCTTGGCCTGTGCACTGATGGCTATTAAGATGTCTTCTCCACACCAATTAGAGTGGCACCAACGTTATCCCTGGGGAGAACTTTGACCCTGCCTGGACTCAAAGAGACAGTTTTTCTAATCTCCACTCCCCCGTGTTGCCAACCTCTTCTTTAAAAAAAAAAAAAAAAAAGGCTTAGCTGCTACAAACACAGCAACGGAGGCTCTGTCTTTCATAAGGAGAACTCATACAAAGGAAAAAAGCAACTCCAGCACAAAGAAAACAAACGTTGGAATCAGCCAACACATTTCAATATAGTTCCATAGTTTTCCTACTTAATCCTACTGCAAGACTTCTCTGGGCAATCTCGACTGCTGATGACTACATGCAGGGGTTGTTGGCAACAGTATATAAATGGACTTTTCTGACATCTTTTACTTCTGACCACCCAGTCTAGTCTACAGCTTTGGGATTTTCTGCTGGTCTTCCAAATTCTGCTGAATCCCAAATTCGGATACTACCTGATAGGAACCTTTTTTTTTCCCAGAGAGAGCCAAGGTGCCTAAGCACTGCCAGATGTTATGCTACCATAACTAAGAAGCCTCACTCGGATCAAGCCCAGTTCCAGTGGCTTTCACCCTACTAGCCCACTCCAAATCTATTTGCGTTGTAATCAGGCCCTGTGTTGTTGTTGCGTTTTCCAAACCCCTAATAAGAGCTCGTCCTTTGACTCACCATCTGAAAGTTCTGGAGTTCCATCAAAGTTTTCTTGTCCACAATGATTTGCCCCTTGAGCTTGCAATGGAAGGCTTCCTCCACTCGCCGGTAGAGAGAAATCTCCTCCAGAGGCAGTAACATCACAGGCATCTCACTGGGATGGGCTGGGAGAACTGGAGATGCTCGCCGTTCGGTAGCTTCTGGAAGAAAAAAGGGTTGCAGCGGGGATTACCCTGAGCCGATCTTTGTCTCCAGTAAAGTCAAAAAAGAAGAGCTGGAGAAGAGCTGGTTTACCTTTCAACATTTCTTTAAATTCTTGCATTAAGACCTCATGGGTGACTTCAGCCCCAGGAAGACCACGGGGCCCTGGAGGACCTGGGGGCCCCGGGGGTCCAGCAAGACCACGCTAGAAAAATAGTAATAGGGAAACAGAAGACGTTCAGAAACCGTCTTATGCAGAAGTATAAACTGCCATTTCATTAGCCAAGTCCCAAATTCATGGTTTGATTTGGACCTGTTCTGAGAAACCAAGGGGCATTGCTAAGCTGGGTCAAAGTCTTTGAAGACCATCGTCACTGCTTCTGAAAGAGCTGTAAACATGTGGACATGACACATCTCCAGGGAATTGTTCAATCTCGCTTCCTCCCTGCAATCCTTCCATGGGGCATACAGGATATCCAAGTGGGAGAAGGGTGCCATCATGGGGGAGATGACAAAATGCCAGGGATTGTTTGGGCACAGAGATGGCCAATGACTCAACTAGAATGGATAGCATCATGGAATGTCACTAGGGCAACAGCAAAAAAAAAAAAAAAAGTATCCCGGGAAAGTAAGATCAGTGTAGGAAAAAAAGAGAGAAAAGTGTAGCGTTGGCCAGCTTTGCTAGATGTTCAGAAGAGAAATAAAGGTGCACACAAAAACCAAGCTTTTTTTCCCACACAAAAGCTTTCATCCCAAACGTAGTTTCCCTTGATCTGAGTAAAATCAAAATTAATACTTGGTGATTGCATCCATGCTGTTTTGCTGATGCCAGTCAGTGTTACGTAAGTAACGGTGAGAATGACACACCTTTTAGAGAATCACCCACATTTGGGGAGAAAACTCTTTGTCAACATGGCACATGAAGCAACACTGCATCCCCTCTCCAATTGTATATATGGCACTGGGAAGAAAATAAACCAGCAAGGGAAATTAGTGGGTGCAATGGAGGGTCCCATTAAGGCCGATCACTTAATTTTCTGCAGATCCCACATCATCAGCCTGACAATGGTTATTAGCTAACCGTTGGTCATCTGGCTAGTTAGAACGTCCAAAGGGCCAGACCATCCCACCCTGCAGCATTTGAATGCATTGCGGTCATCGTCATGGTCATCATTAACATTACCAGCTAGCAAAAGCTTCCGGAAATAACCTACTTTTTTATCTTTCCCTTTGCATTTGTTTTTGGAGTTGCTGCCTTCACCCGGACGCTGTACAAATGAAATCCATGTCCGGCGTGGATCGGTGATGGGCGGGTCTGGGGACTCTAGCATCTAAAGAAAGGAAGAGTAAACAGTGACACTGAGATTCTGTAAGCCAGGGATGGCAGGCAGGCAGGCAGGTGGAGAAATCTTCCATTCCCTTCATTGCCTATGAACCTTCCAGTTCTTAATTCTGGATCTGAAATCCAAGAAGCAAAATTTCCATAGAGGAGAGAGGGGATATGAAATTGATAGCCTTTCGGTTCCCTGCCCCCCCCATCCTTCTTCTAGATTTTCATCTCTGTGGGGATTAAAAAGGATCCAAGAGGAAAGAGGAAAACTGAGATGACAATCATTCCACAGAAAGAAGAGGGGAGGTTAAAAGCCAGCAATGACATATAGAAGGGGTTGTTTCAATTTACTAAAACAGTAATTTGTACCAGTGCTCTTAAAAATAAAATACAGCTGGGGAACACCAGGAACTAGAGACAACTGGCCCCCCTCAGACCAGGAAAAGAAATGAGCAAGCTATATGTGCTTGATTAGGACATAATGCGATTCTGATTAAGCCGTCAAAAGATACAATGCATTGAAGAATCCAGCCAATGAAAAGATAAGATCCAACCACATAGATGAAACATAGATGAAAAGGATGCTATTTACGCAGCTAAATATATTAGCCAGCCACCTCCAAATATTTTCTCAATGTCTGCTATATTTGGCTTCCAATCAGTTTGCTGGAACTCTGCAAATGCACATACTGTCTGTTGCATTTGCTAAGGTCCCTGGTTCATTCCTTGGCCCTGCTAAACAGCATTCCCAAAGATCCAGAAAACTGCTACCCATCCACTTTAAAGATCATTATCCAGACTAGTCTACTGACTTCCTATCTAAGAGAAGGGAAGGATAATTCATCTCATGAAGCACTGTGCCACTGCAGCCCAGCAATTGGTTTATTGTTGCTTCATTTACCAAGCTAGCCCCAGGCTAGGCCAGGATCTGCTTCAAAGAAGGCTTCAAAGCAAGCCCATCCATTTCAGCCAGGTGGACGTGCCCACAGACAAGCCTGGAGGCTCTACCCAATCACAGCTTCCCCCGCCAGATGTCTGTGACCGGATTGGTCAGCCGACATTCCATGAAGCAGCAACCCCAGATTCCAGGAAATAACCAAAGAATGCAAGTTTGAATGCACGTTGCCCCTTGTAGGATTTCTCTGGGGGAAACAATGGAGCAGATTGGGTATGTCTAGGGGTGACATGATAGCAGTCTTCCAATATTTGAGGGGCTGCCCCAAAGAGGGAGTCAAGCTATTCTCCAAAGCGCCTGAAGGCAGGATAAGAAGCAACAGATGGAAACTCATCAAGGAGAGAAGCAACCTAGAACTAAGAAGAAATTTCCTGACAGTGAGGACAAGTAACCAGTGGAACAACCTGCCTCCAGAAGCAGTGAATTGCTCCAACACTGGAAGCTTTTAAGAAGAGACTGGACAGCCATTTGTCTGAAATGGTGTAGGGCTTCCTGCCTGAGCAGGGGGTTGGACTAGAAGACCTCCAAGATCCCTTCCAACTCGGTTATTCTGTCATTATTCTGCTCTCGAGTGAGGGTGGAGACGAACGGATTGACACCACAAGGCAGACACTCCCCAACGAGAGAATCATTCAATGGCCTCGGAAACTTAAAATGAGGTTTTATTCTTCTTTAAAAAAAAAATATGTTGGGTAAAACAAATGCTCTCCTAAAACTTACGTTTGATTAGCCAGGCCGTTCGGTGTCCATTGGGAGATAGAAAAACAAAAACAAAACCCTGCTTCTTCTTCACATTTTCTGTATAGTTCCTGCCATCTTTCTCACTTGGGACATTGCTAAGGATAAAGTGGACGACAGAGAATGAGATGGCTGGATGGAGTCCCTGAAGCAGGAGGTGTGAACTTCAATGGACTCCAGAAGATGGTAGAGGACAGGAAGACCTGGAGGAACGTTGTCCATGGGGTCGCGATGGGTCGGACACGACTTCGCAATTAACAACAACAAGGATAAAGTCTTCCTTCATAGGGTAATTCCAGGATCCTGATAGCCTCTTTAAACACCCTTTCCCCTCTTTTATAAACGAAAGGGCCACTGGGGGGGGGGGGCAATTGTAAAAGATCCCCGGTTCCTCAGCCTCTGTTGCCCCAGGCAGATGTTTGCGGAACCACAGCTGTCTGCACGGTGAGCCAAGAGGGAATCCGAGTCACTTCTAGCGGAGCGTTAAGCGCATTCCACGGTAATTGAATAATTAGTGTCAATGTTGGATCCGTCAGGCACACCCTCCAGCCAAGTAGATTTTGCTGGCGTGGGATCAAGACTCTACTGTTTCCCCCCCGGGGACCCCAAATTGCTATCAGTGAAACGAGCTTCTTGGCAAAAGGAAAAAGGACCAATTCTCAAGCATCCTTTTCTGGTTCACTCACTATATGCAAATAACTCCAGGATTCCCTTAAAACGTCCTCCAGTTTTTTCTCCTCCCTTAAGTGGAAGCTTATAAGTTGTGTTGCAGAAGCTTTGAGAGAGCGGAACATCGGCCAGCTTAAATTTCAAGAGGGCATTGAAAGTTAAAAACATGAAGTTGAATTTTGGGGGTGGCAGCCAATTTCCACCCGCCTAGTTAATCCCAATCTTTGCTCTCTTTTGCCATTTTCTTCGGCAAAGCTTCCGGGAACCACCCTGATCAATTTGGGCTCCATTTCTCCACCACGATGTAGAATTGACAACTAAAGTAAGATGGGGTGGTGGGTTAATCTGCTTCCCGCGGAAGGAGGTAAACATACTGAATTGGTGGGGCTGGCCTTTGGCTTTGATGGATTCTCTTTGATCTGGAGAACTTGATGGAGGATTTCAATCGAAAGCCCTGCTCCAAGTGTGTCCAGTGATAAGAAAACACTTTCTTCACATCAAGTGATAAGAAAGCAGTCGGAGAGCTGAAAGATTCCCTTGGCTTTGCATTTCCAAGAGAGAGCTGGGCTTTCTAAAACTTCCTAATGCATTTCAGTTTTGGATCTGGGGGCCAACAAAGTTCATCTGCCTATACGGGTAGGCCCCGACGTACGACTATCATTGGGCCCAAAGGTTCTGTTGCTAAGTGAGATATTTGTTAAATTAGCTTGGGCCCGTTTTATGGCTTTTCTGTTGCTAAGTGAGATAATTGTTAAACGAGTTTGGGCCCATTTTATGGCTTTTCTTAAGCGACACTTCAAACGGACACTAAACGAATGGCTGTGAGAGCTACCTGGACAGTGTACGCACCCACAACAGCCCTGCGGCTTTTTTTTTTTTTTTTTTCTAATGTGTGAACCGTGGACAGGCGGCGGGACCCCTTTCAGAGTTTGCCTGCTTGACCCAGAATTCAGAAAGGCTGGCCAAAAAAAAAGGAGATTTGGAAGGAGGAAGAAGAAGTGACGTGGGGTTTCAACTTTTTTTTTCACTCATAAAATTGTGGGAAGAACGCAAAGGTCATCTTGCTTAAAACGAGGAGGGGGTTACAGCATGGGAAAAGAAGCCAAAATGAGTAAAACAGCTGCTGTCCTGCCCAAGGAAAGCTGGGCTCCCGAGCCACGCCAAAAGGGACTGCATGCCAAGGGCCTTGGGGAACTCTGGACGGCTGGTGACTGCCTGCCCGTCTTGCTGTCCCTGGCTTGCTTGCTTCCTTCGCTTGCAGCCAGCCTGCTGCCCAACCGCCCCACCAGCTATCAATCAAATAGAGGACTGATGGTTAAAATGATCACTCTGCCCTTGTGGTAGTATTATTTAATCCTCTTGGCCCAGCATGAGCAATCCATTGAATAAGTGTGCCAGACTCTCTTTATCTTGGCAACCGTTGGTTTCAGCAGAGAGAGAGAGAGAAGGGGGGGAAAAAAAATCTACTTCTAGTCAATTCAGATAAGCCCAAGATGGACACACACACATGCTCTTTTAGCCAATAGTTACAGTCTGGTCAGTGTGTTTTTCTTCTTTGGGGTGGGGAAGAAAACATTCTACTTTTATTTTTAATCTCTGTGCCTCCCCAAAACTCGTCTCTACTTAGTCGTCCAAGAACTGTAGTTCCTGGATTCCAATCCCATCGTCCTCTGATGTTGACATGCTGACTAAAGCTTATGGGAGCTGGAATTCACCCTCATGTGGAGGGCCACAAGCTGTTTTTTTCTGATTTAGCCAAAACCTTGCTTGCCTTGCAACCGATAATAGCCTAAGTGCAAATAAATATAATCGCCTCCCACCCCCTTTTTTTTTATTGCTAAGCTTTTCTCTCCAAGCATTGGATCACAGGGCCTTTTTACTGCACGTATAACCTCCTTCCTGAAACTACCTCTTAGGTAAAATTCAGTCTCTGATCTAGAAAAAGCATGTTGTTGTCATAAAACTACACTCTTCCCAGTCAATTGACCCACAACTCTAATTGCCCAAGTACAGTAGATAAGAACTGCCTTTCAGGGCTGTCTAGAATGGGAATTTGTCCCGCCTTCCCCTCTGGAGGTTAATTACTTCCCAAAACTACCCCTGTTAGTTAATTAACCACCAGGGATAATTACCTAGTTCTGCACAGACAACCACAGCTCAGCAGTATATGGCATTTTAAAGTATTTTGAACCTCTTGTCAGAACAAAGGACCTATTAGAGATTTTGAACCTCGGAGCTGGGGATTATCTGTTTCAGTCCCACGCTGGCCAAGAGACACAGCATCTGCAAAACATCCGTGGCCACTTTGCAAAAGTCGGGCTAGCGTTCCACAAAACGGTGGCGCCAGTTCAAACGGAGGACGAAAAAAAAACCACCTTCCTTATGAAAGAATTCTGGTTCTCTGACGGAGCACCTGGTTGGCAGACCCTCTTCCCCACATCTCCAGTTTAAGAGGTTCAGATTGCACCCCCCCCCCAAAAAAAGAGCAAACAGAGGGATCTTTTGTGGGCTGGGAATCTGAGACTGTTGTTTGCTCCCTCCCCCTGGTGTCATAACCAGGATAGATAAGATCACAAGTTGCAAATCACAAGGGTCCCATCCTACAGGTAGTCCTTGAACCTACAATCATTCGTTTAGCGACCATTCAAAAGTACAGCAGCCTTGGCAAAAGTGACTTCACACTTACGACCGTCGCAGCATCCCCATGGCCATGCGGCCAAAATTTGGACGGACTGGCTAATGACGGTTTGCAGGATCCCAGGGTTGTGTGAACGCCACTGCAGCCTTCTAACATGCAAAGTTAGCCAGATTCACTTAACATCCGTGTTACTAACCACTGCAGTGATTCATTTCACAACTGGGGTAAGAAAAGTCATAAACTGGGGCAAAAAATTCACTCAACTGCCTTGCTTAGCAATGGAAATTTTGGGCTTCGTTGACGTCGTAAGCTGAGGACTACCTATATACCCATCCTTTTTATGACCCCAAAGAGGCTGTGCTAGTAGCCAGAAGCAGACTTGGGACGCATCTCTTTTATAGGGAGATATCCTGGTAAGGAAGCCAGCTTCACTAGTTACGAAATAAGGAGTGGAAAAGAACTCTTTTGCAGTTATCTCGTGAAAGATTGCTGCTTGAGGAAGGTGTCCAGGAAATATTCCTGTTTCTTAGATCTCAGATCTGAGATCTCCAGGAATGCAAGCTTGCTCTTCTTGTCAAGGGACAATGCCAGCTTCTAAAGATGTTGCTGAACTGTCCCACCCACACCCACCACCACTGCCATAGCCAGCTGGCAATTGCGTTTTGAGACAACTCAAAGGACTTCAGACTTCTCCATCTTCACCCTGATCTAATCCAATATCTTTGCCAATGCTGAAGGTTTCAGTCAACACTGCCCAGAACTACGTGGGTGCTCCATCACTGGAGATTTTCAAAAATAGACAAGGATCTAAAAAGGGCTCCTGCCTTGAATAGAGGGCTAGACTAGAAGGTCTCCGAAGTCCCCCTTCCAGCTTGGATTCTACGTTGTCTAGAAGCTTTAGCTACGCTAGTTGTTGGAAAAAGGCAACTTAACATTTAGAAGGCTACTGGTTCCCTTGAGGTCCTCCCACTGCTCTGTTGTACCAGTTTTGGGGAGAGCAAGAACCTCCAGTCTTGGCACTACCTCTCCTCTTTCTGCTGACAGGGTCAGAAGAAGAGGCCGATCAACAAAACAAGACCTCTTCCATGCATCTTGGAACGTGGACGGGCTCTTCCAGCGCTTCAACAGGATAAATGTAGCCCGTGCGTGGGATGATAAATCAAAAAACCCTTGGTGATTTGTGCAAATCCTCCAGAAATCCTCCATTTGCCTTTTTTGGTCTTAACTGCAGGATTAATGTTTGCAATTCAAGGCCAGTTCATCACTCACAGTGGCAACAGACGTCTAAGAGATCCCGAATGGGGTGGGGAAGACTTTCTCCTGTTGTTAGATCCTCTTTTATAAAAATGCTTTTATAAAATGCTCCTCACTGCTACCAACTTCAGGAATAGGAAACTATTTGATAAGGGGAGGGGGGGGGATCTTTTCAAATCTTAACCTCCTGCTCACAAATGTGACAGTTTGTCCTCATTGCTTGCCCTTTGGAGATAGAATGCACCTCACCATGGATGCACGTAGCTTTAAGCAATCCATCACCAGACAGATCCAACTCTTAAAACTCTGTTTAAACTGTTAGGGTTTTTTTTGGTCTAAGTTTAATGTAAATTTTGTTCTTATTTAAACACATTAAGTCGCCTTGGAAAGTTGGAATATAGGAATGGAAATAAAATAATAATAGGCATCTTCCTTTGAGGGCCTCCAGCTGCTTCCTTTTTAGGAAGAATTGGAACTTTTAGAGGCACAGTTGAATCCTGCAAGGTCTGTATTTTCTTCTCCTGCTTCCATCCCCCTCAGCCCACCACATTTTCCTTCATGCTGGTCTTAGGTGGTTTCTTTTCTGCAGTTGAGGGGATAATTTCCCTCGTGGGTGAGTCAATTGGAGGACCCTCTTCCCAGTCAAGCTTAGCACCTGACATGTTGGCTATTTGTTTCTCTCTGCTGACTGCTGCTAGTTTGTTTTAGCTTCCTTTCACTGCAAGCCCCCAGAGAATTTGGGGGAACCCACTGTCTAGCTTAGGTAAGCCTGGTGCAAACAAATGGGATAAAGGAAACGTAGTTGGCACGAACTTAAGCCCCTAAAGACATTGGATGCGAATAAACACTTCTGTCTATCCTGATTTTATTTTATTTTTTTGCCAGCCTGGTTTTTGGCAGGGGTTGCCAGAATGAGATGGTGAAGTTATTTCTGCAGCACTTTCACAAACCTTGAGGGCTTGTAACTTTATAAACCTCCCCCTTCACCTCTCCCACCTTGAGTTAATCCCACTTCTTCTAAACCTTCAACCCCCTCCATTCTCAAGCTGCCTTGTCAGAGGTTTTGGATTCCCTCTCCATCCAACCCCAGAAGCATGGAGTTTGTAGTCCAGCCAACTGGGATTGCAGCCTGGCCTATGGCCGAGCTGTGTTGGGGGCTAGCGGTGGTGGAATTCCCCGTTACCCAGAGATCTGCCTCCGTGGACATGCCATCGTCACCAGCAACCTGGCAAATGGAGACAGTTACGGAAATGATAATTTCCCCCCCCCCCCCATCCTTCTGCTCAAGTTTCTGGGCTACGCGGAGATCTCTCCAAAAGTTATTGCTTGGATTGATCAGACCAATTTCCCTTGTCACCATGTCCAACCCGACAGGTTATCACGGGGAAATCCTACAAGCAGGGTAGGATGGAGGTCTTGCCAATGTCCGATACACTTGTCTTTGATAACAGAAGCTCACTTTCCTGGTCTCACCTGTCCTTCAACACCCGCTGAAACACTATTGCCAGAGTAGATGGCATCAAACCAGACATCAGAATGTCATCCCGAACCCAAGTTCTGCTGAAAAGGCCTTTGCGGAAACCATGGCTCCGTTTGGTGGACCAGGGGCTATCTTTTGGGAGGGTGAGAAGAGTCTTGGGAATGTCAACCAGTTGTTCTTCCCTTGTCTCACCTGGGAGACGCCAATCAAATGGGAAAAGCAAGCCCACCCAATTTTGCTGCCGTCCCTCACTTACCTTGGAGTGTCCGTTCAATTCTTCACTGTTGGAAAGAGTTGTTGCGTTGAGAGCTTCCATGTATTGGTTAGGCTCCTTCAGTTTCTTCCGCTCTTTCTTGGCCACCACCAGCGAGAAATTTGGGAACTCTTGGCAGATCAGCATTGCCAGGACAAACCAAATCCAGTGTCGTCTTCTGTCTTTTGGGGACAGCATCTTCAAGACGGGGGAAGCAAGAGAGAAGCAACCTTCTCAAAATGGAAATCAGACTTGGGGTGCTGGCTTTGTCTTTTCTAGGTAAAGCCACTTTACTTCTAGTCATCCCAAGCTAATCCCACTTGCAAGCAACGTGTAACCATTGCTCTTTCGTCTTTTGGACGGCCTGCTAAAAATCAACCACGCCAAAGGGACCCACGTTGAGGAATCGCTCCCCTCTGACAGCAGGTTCTCAAAACAAAAACTTGAGCTCTCAGCTGCCAGCTCAGAGCAGAAGGTCCACTGGCCTCTCCCGTTTCATCTTCTTCTCCTTTGGGAAAAAAAATGGCTGGAGGGTCAAACGTTGCAGAACACGTGGAGGCCCCTTCGGAATAGTGGCAGAGCCAAAGGAGAAGGACTGGAGACTCAGAGGCCAGGGGCCAAAGTGGGCTCCTGCTAGTCTGTCCGATGTCACACGTGCTGATTTCCAAAGCTGTCTGCTCAAATCTATCTATACATCGGGAATTTGGCAGAGGTTGCTTACTTCACATTTCTGGATGTGCCATGTCCCAAATCGTAAAAGTCCACAATTTCCCCCTTATTTAAAAAAAAAAAAAAAAAAAAAAGCAAGAAAAAACTCTCAAATCCCAGCTTTCCGGGTGCCTGATTTTTTCTGCCACCTAAGAAACAATCTGACCATCATCGCTTTCCCCTCCTAACCAACTTTGCTGCTGAATCTTCTCTCTAGAGCACCTTTCCCAAGAGGAATGTCCCAATGCCCCCCCCCCTCTCTCTGGGCTTGATAGGAAATTGCTAGCTCCTTGCCTGGCAGCTGAGAGCTGGCAGAAACCTCCCTGGAGTTGTACGGCAGTGAATAAATACAATTTTTGTGGGAGAGTTTTGCATCAACTTGAAAAGGAAGGGGAGTGAAAAAGAGGAGAGGTGGGGGGGGGAGAGAGGGAAAAGGGAGGGTAATTTGTATGGGGAGGGAGGGGCCACATTCTAAAGAGCTGTCGGGGCTGGTCTTTTTGCATTCCTATTAAGGGGAGGCTGTCAGGGGAAGCCGACTCTGACCCCCCCTGTGCCAAAGAGATTTAAATCAGAACTCGCTTCTTTCACCACCACCACCACCACCCCCGCCTGTGTCTTGTTTAGCCCTTTGCAGACCTTCTTTTCCATCTCGCAACATTGGCCTCTTTATGTGCAGCAGCATTATGTGCCTGTTGGGACAATGGCTTCCCGCTTTCACCGGTGGTACTTGTTGCATTTACAGGTCACCTTCGCAAGGATCGGAAAAGGCAAGGCACCTCCAGTTTTATCCTCGGAAGGCCTGCACCAGTAAGGTAGTCTAGGCTGGCAAAAAGCCCTCGCAGTGGGTTTACCAACCCAGGAAGCCCTTGGCCCTGGATGTCTGCAATCTTAGCCTATTGCCCTAAGCACTGTTGTCACACTGGCAATCCAGAGCGAGAGAGAGGATTGGCGTTCAGCTTAAAGCAAGTAGATAATAATAAGGCTCCCAGGTGAAGAGCCAACAACTAGTCAATGATCTATTAAAGCTTGCAAAGAGTCCATCCACACAGGGAAAGCGTCCCGTCAGTTTATGAAGCACCAATGCGGGTAGAGAGTAAGCAAGCATAAGAGCATTCCTAGAAAGATGCACAAGTAATCCTCAATTTACAGCCGTTCGTTTAGTGACCGTTCAAAGTTACAGTGGCACTGGAGAAAGGGACTTAGGACCACTTTCCACACTTACGACCGTTGCAGCGTGCTCGTGGTCACGTAATCGAAACCCGGGCACTTGGAAACCGGCACGTATTTATGAGTTTTTAAAGCTTGTTGTGCTGCTCTGATTTAGAAAGCCAGGCCGAATCGTATGAGATCCTCAGAGGATTTGTAGACTTTTAATTGTTAAAGGTGCAGGGGAAAGAGAATATTATTGTGAAAACACACAGGAAAAAAAAACCCAACCTTTTGCTTGTCTGCTGTCAATCATCTGGCAATGGGTTACCTAGATGACGGCTGCAAACAGAGACTTTTACATTTTAATTGCTTATCAAGTCTTTGGTTAAATTGGCTGCTTTTATCAACAAGATTTTTTTAAGGCCCGGGATTGCGTGTTTTGCTGCAAATGGGCTGGTTTTAATTAGCAAGTTGCACTTTTTTTTTAATCGTTGTAAAGGTTTGTCTTCGATGTTATTTCGTTGCCTTCGAATCGATTGCTTGCTACACCACTGTTGAAAGGTCCATTACAAGTAGAACATGCCCATTACTTCCTTCCCAGTTATATGCCCAGATCCCCGTAAACCGCGAAGCGTCTCTCCAAAATCAAGTGGGAGGGAGTACCCAGATTCAGAAGATTTCATTTCAAGAGTTTCAGCCTAGTCTTCCATTCTGTCAAGGCCATTTTGAACCAACAACTGCACTGTGCAAAGAGCTTATCTGAAGCTGGGGGGGGGGGAGGCCAAAATACAATGACAGCTTTATATATATAAAAAAATTCCCCCCCCCAATTGAAGACGAGGCTCTGTTTGGCACCATATTCCGTGTTGCGATGCCATGCAATCAAAAGGCTCCACTCCAGACACGCACGCAAGCCTCTGCGATGTGAAGGGGGGGGGGAATAAGTAAAGAAGCCAGGAAGGAGCGAAACGCAACCACAAGAAAAACTTGCCTTTGCCACGGTCTGCAGAACTGTCTGGGCTGCTGAGCTGCCATATGACAGATTGTCCTATTAACATGTCATCGAGTGCCCCTGACAGATTCGCAGCCTGTCTGCAGCTAACCCGAGCAGAGCTTTAAGCGGTAGGCGACGCCAAAGCAAGTTAAATATTATTAACAAAGGATGGTTGCCAGCAGTTTGCAAGGAATGCAAGATAGTTTTTATGGTGGGGGGGGGGGAAGAAGGAAAAAAGATACAGCGTGAAGAGAGATGGGCTATTAACTATTACATAGTTCTAGGTTTCCTTAAGTGGTTACGGGGCTTTGGGCCCATGCAATCAGCATGGTTTTAAAACGATGGCTTGTTTTTAGCCTAGCCATTTGGATCAGTGGAGACGTCTGTCTTGGCCTGTCTTCTCTCAGAATTGGCCTCTCTTAGTCTCCGTAGGGAGGGGCCAGAAATGGAGCGAGGTCTGGTTAGTAATTGGATAAGGAACCACCAAGGCAATCCCCAGGTTGCAGCCAACACAGTCACCAACGGAGCCAGGTTTAACCAGAGGTTTTACTTTTCCTGAAAATGTGATGGCAAACATTGATTTTCCCCGCACGTTCCTCGTATTTCTAGGCCTGCCCGATTAGGGTTTCTCAAGGTGGACCTCCCTTACAAGAGAGGATGTGACCAAGATTCAACTCAGTTCCTATCCATTAAAATTACTTACATGAGACCATGACTTACCTGCCATTTGTCTAAATGTTGGTATCATAGCGACACCTGCTGGATATACTATTATATTACAGTTGAAATATATCAATGTATATTAAACCAAATATATCAATATATATTAAACCAGGTAAAGCCTGCACAAACAGGGAAAGCCACTGGCTTCTCTATGTCTCAGGATCATTTGTTCATCTTTTCTCTCTTATCTCGATCAAGTTGCCACCAGGCCTAAGAATCTAAGCCTATCCAAAAAAACAAATCTAAAGCAGAAGCCTCTTGCTGCATCAATGTGTACATGATCCAAAGCAGCCCTATTCCTTCTCAGCTAGAGGTCCTTCATGAAAAAGGTACTTCAACTAATGCAACTTCTTGGCAGCAAGAGAAACCCTTGCTGCCATCTGGCATCTGTTTCAATTTCTCAGTCTGGTCCACTATAATTCTAGGAGTCTACAAAGATTCTTCCTCCAAGCATTGAGCTGCTTCAAGCATACTTTGCTTCAGAAGGTCAGCAGATATTTGAACAGAGGATCTCAGTTCTTACTTGTCCCCAGGATCCCATACTTGGAAACTTCTGGACATAAAAGTTTCCATCTATACCTATCGTGACTCTGCTAAAATAATACCCATTCCACCTAAAAAATAAACTCCTTTATTTTGCTTGCAACCTCTTGCAAATAATAGAGTTCTGTTTGGTCCCAATTCTCCCTCTATCTCTGCAACTCTTGCCTAAATATTTATCCCACCTCCAAACAGCCCAAACTGTTCTCTGACTGCTGGGTCTAGACCAGTGGTGGCGAACCTATGGCACGGGTGCCGTCACCCCATTCCTAGGCCTTCAGCTGGGTTTTATAAAATCTTTTCATTTTAGGCCTCCACTGCCATGTGCAAAAAAAAAAAAGGTTCAATCAGTCAATCAATTTCAACTTCTCGCGGGGAAAAAAAAGATCTTGCAAAGTTGGAATTGATGGATTGAACTTTTTAGTCCCACCCAGTCTGCTGTTACCACGGCAGCCATGCCTACCCAATGGGCCACACCCCTCCAATTGGCCACACCCAGCCAATGGGCCACACCCACCCAGCACCCGACGATGCATAAGTGGGTTTTGGTTGCAGTTTGGGCACTCGGTCTCTAAAAGGTTCGCCACCACTGGTATAGACTGATTCTAGATAATACTGCAGAGGTGTCCAATTTTAAGACCTGCAGACTTCAACTGCCAGAAATCCTCAACCAGCATGGGGAATTCTGGGAGTTGAAGTCTACAGGTCTTAAAAGTTGGACTCCCGTGCATTAGAATATTCTTCTGCAATTGACCAACCGAATATTCTTGGATTAAAAAAAAAACACAAGGTTTCTCACCTGTCATCATTTTCTCATCCACAAACATGCACTTAACATACATCTAAACTCCACTTTGGCCAGCCGGCCAATTAATTCATTAAGCCGATTTAAGCTACTCTGTCATGTGAAAGTCAAACATGTGTGTGAACTCCATCAGTGCAGCTTAGAAGCCACCACACCCAATTGAGCACAAGTGAACTCAGACAGTGATTTATTCAACAAACTATGGTTAAACAAACCCACGCTTAGCCCCATCAGTGAACCAAGTCACGTCCATTGAACCAGCCTCTTTCCCACCCACCCCTTTAAGGTACTATAAAGAATGTGACCTACGCTTCTTTTTTTTCAAGTAGAAAGAAATGCCTTTGCATGAATATGTACATTAAGATCTCGTGACAACCCGCGGGTGCAAAACATGGACCAAGCTGAAGGAGAAAAAAAAAAAAAACCACAAACAAAATTTCATCAAAAGACAGAGAGGGGGGGAGACTATCACACAATCCCTGAAGTATTTCTAAAAAATGGAAATACGTATTTTAAATCAGTCTCCCCAAATACCCTTCCCCAATTTGTCCTAGATCCCTGTTGCCCAGGATGATGGGGAGATGTAGTCCACGATAGTGTGGACATACTGAGAAGGCTTTCTTAAAATGATTTTCTACTGTAGCCCTCTCTCCCATTCACATGCCGACAATGAGATTTTAATAAACGTTTGTTCACTGATAGAGCTATTGGGAGAGTCACAACTAAACCAACACCTACTGGTGGGGAAATTGGTCAAAAGCAGATATTCACTCTTAGATGAAGTTAAACTCTTAGATGAAGTTAAACAGCTTATGGATTTAATTAATCTTTTTCTGGTCAATACTTTCCCCCAGTCAATACTCTATATCATTTCATAAAGTCAACATTTCCAATCTGTTTTGTGCATGGGTTCCAGAAAAAAAAACTATACCAAAAAAAAAAAAGGAATAAAACCAGTAACTCAAAACTTTAACAAAAAGCAGAAATCTCATCTTTAAAATACCTTTGAACGAAAGAGAAGCTTAAAAAGACATACTTAACAATACAGGGTTCTTTCAACCTTGGCAATACCAATGGAGGGGGTCTAATAACAGGAAAACCACGCTAAATGGGTTGGGCTTAGGTTGTTTTCCCTCTTTTTCTTTGTTTTTGGCTACGGGAAGATATTTATTTTAGCCAGATAAGCTGGATGGGCAAAACATCACACTAATCCCAGAAGCACAACTGGGGGGGAGGAGGTGTCTCTTTCCCTGCCCCAAAATGGGGAATGTAAAGGTCCAGCTGTTCCGGTTGAGAATAAGTAGGTTTTTCGCCCCAGAACATTTATCTGTTTAACTTAAGTTAAATCAACCTCCTTGAGGTCCTAGCTTTTGAGTGATCCCTGCTTTAGAAAAAATACCTTCAACTGGAGCTAATTAACTGCAAGACAAAGCATAGCACTAATGGGGAGGGGGGGGGGAAGAGGACGGGTATGAAACACAGAAGGAATTTATTGAAAAAAAATCCTTCCCAGGCCATCCTCTCTGAGGTTGACTCTTTCACTTCCCTTCTCCTTAGCAGCAAAAACCTGGAGATGAATTATAAAACATAACATGATTGCAACCTCAAGTCCTCAAACGGGGTCCTTTTGAAAGAAAAGAAGACAGAACATCAAACTTTTACACTTTTTTTTTTTAAAAAAATGCTGATCAAAAGGCCAACAAAAGCTGGTAAGATTTGGCCATTGTTCTGTCTCTCTCTTTAAAGAGCAATTGGGCACGTTTTTAATTGGGCCAGAATTATAAGAAGAAAAATTGCACATTGTGATGCGTTGGGCAAAGAATGTGCCTGCTTAAAAACACACACAGTTACTCAGGGCCACTGCACCCTTGTGGTTGCGTAGGAGAGTGGAAAAGTTTTCTCTTTTGCGTAAACCCAGGCTGTTTCTGTTAGCACCAAAACTCCTCTTTGTGGGGGTGGCTCAAAAGCTTTATGCTCACCCTCACTCCAAACTTTATTTTAAAAGAACTGTAAATTCACTCTCTGGCGTCGGGCAAGCTTAGTATGCAAAATGCTGCCTTGAGCATCTAGCATTCATACAAACATCTGCTCAGTTTGGGAACCCGTTCAGCAGCAAACACCAGCACGTCAAGCGACGTGATCTAAGGGAGGGCCTCTTAACAAAACAAGAGTGCTCCTTATTCCCCCACCCTCCTCCTTCTCCTCAGCTGAGAGATCTACCCATCCGTATTAAAACAGGCATGGACTGCCCATGCTCTGCCACCCCATCTTCCTATCGCCAAAAATCCCATGTTGCCTTAAAATGGATGCTTCTGCCCAAGTTCTCAAAAACTCCCAAGATGTTAGAACCGATTCGGAGCGCGCTGGAAAAAAAAGAAAAACGAAACACAGGGATTTTGCAGGCCGGTAAATTTAGATCCTACAATTTACCTGTTTCAGAAAGGGATTTTTTTTTTCTTCTTCTTCTTCTTCTTTCTTGGGAGACAGTGTGTTTGTCCTCTTCCTTCCTCCATCCCATCCCATCCTTTTCAATCCCAAACAGGGTTTTCCCCTCCCTTCCAACAAAACTAATTCCATGAGCCAAACCAGTAATTTAAAAAACAAAACAAAACCCCTGTACACATCACAGCAGTTAGCCCCACAGTTGGGAGTACGAGACCCACAGAGTCCCAAATGTTTTGTTTCCTTCCTGCCACTACTGTTATTTTGGTCTCAGAACCCAGACTTGGAAGGAAAAGGAGAACTTCAGAGCATCTCACTCCTGCGCAATGCTCCTCAAGACATACTTCACTGTATACGCAAAAGCCGCAAAGCCCACTATAACAAACAAGTTCGCCAAAGCTCCACCCAGGAGTCCATGATGGCGGTTAGCTTGCTGGAGGCCAAGGGGGTTGTTAGCTGCAGCCAAAGGCGGGTGCCCGTTTAGAATCGGCAGGCCGTTCTGGCCGTGATGAGCTTCCCCGTCAGGGATGACATCCGGAAGCGGGAGAGTCGTTGGCCGGCTGTGGAGATCTTCTCGTGCCTTCTGTTTCTGCTTGATTTCCTGGAGAAGCCAAGAAGGGCAGGAGAGACAGCAGGAAGTGATCAAATGGAGGCTGTGCCACGGTGAAATTCTTTCAATGAAGCAAACCGAAGTCTATTCAAGATAGAACTAGTTTCACCATTCTGGGTTTGAACTAAACCTTTTCAGCTTTCGGATGGGAGGTTCCTAGTTTTTTTCTGGCAAAACCCAAGATCTTAGATTTTCCCCTATGGCAAGCTCTTTTTTATGCCGGTGGAAGGTTCCCAAACCAAAGAGACTTCCGCTACAGTCTGAAAACTCAGCCTGATTATCAGAATAATGCTTATGGTTAAGCCTGCAGAACAGAAACTTTCTGGTCTGGTTTTGAGATGTCCATGCTCATTCTCTAATGGGATTATTGCTCACAAGCAAGCCACAGACACTAAGAGGAAGCTGGAAATGGGCTCAGGTTGTGATACAACAAGAGCCTTTGCACAAGAATGGATGAATTTCTAGGTGAAGCAAATGTTGCCCTGGAGTGGTGGACATCTCCAAATCAAAAAAATGACCCAGTGTAACTAAAAACACACACACACCCCCAATAATTGGAGATATCGCTCAAGGAAAAGACTAGCCTGTCACTTACCTCCACCATGTCAGGAAACAATTCACAAAAGACCTTGTCTTTTACGTTAAATTCTAAACTCTGCGAAGCCAATTGCCTCTTCTGACGGAGCAAAAAGAGAAGAGAAAAGTCAGGCTGGTGTTACCATTTGAATGGAAATGAAACCAAGAGTCCTGTATCTCTCCCTGCGGATTCCTTTGTGGCCGATTTTTAATCGGCAGTGAAGAAATGGCAGCCAGCAATAGAGACTCACCGTAAATTCTGTCGTTTCTATACTGCCCAGTGTGGGCCCTTTTTCAACCATAAAACTAAGAAGGCCTGTCAAGATTGTGGAGACTGACCAAGCTGGGTTCCATGTGTCGGGGTGGAAATCAGTAATGGAAAGACACAACCTACAAAACAAAAGCAGAAAACCCCGAAGCTTAGTCACAGCAGAGAGACAGAGTGTGTTTACCAGGACAAGATTTCTTTGGGTGCAATGAACACTTCCATTGTTCTTAACCAAATTAAACAAAATCGGAGGTTCCTTCACGGAACTGTCACTACAGGTCTGGGGAAAAGCTTTAGTGAAATTTAAGAGTGTTTCCAGACGTGTCTGAATTACCCTTCCCAGATTGTTTGAAGCCACCATGGTCCTGAAAAAAGTGACACAGTTTTTCACCCTTACTGATGGGCCCTATTGTTATAATCTTTTTGGTGATATCCATTCAATCCCTTTGAAGTTGTAACAAAGGAAGTGAGGGCCATAAAACCCCTTTGCTCATCCCCTTTCCCCTTCATAGTATGACAGAATCCAGAGAGGGCAGAAATGGGGTTTCCCATGGTCGATAACTAGAGATGAAATATAATTGGATTCTGACACATGGTACCACAAGCTCAAGACGTCGCTAGTTGAAATATTTCTCGTATCCTTAACAAGCGAGAGGAGAATCAAATCACTGGCCGAGAAAAGACCAGGAAATATTAAGCAAAGCTCTTACCTTGTATTGCATTTAAATCTTCCATTTGGTGTGATCATATAAATACTAGGAGGTTTAAAAGGAAATTCTCTGGGGAAAATTAACTTCCCATGGTAGTAGCCACCTAAAACAGGAATAGCGGGAAAAGAGAACCTTTTTTTAAATTTCACAGCAAATCATCTTGTCCAAAGGAGTTAGTGAACAGTTTGAGGAGAGAACCTCTGGGGCCCTTCCATATATATATATTTTATTTTGCGGTCACAGATCAAAATGCAAGTGCAACAAAAGAAAACACAAGCAAAATATAATCACAAACAATTAACACCAGAAGCCTTGGCTAAGGGGGAATTACAACGTTCTCCTCTAATAGTTACAGCTCTTAAAAGAAATTTAGAAACCTGAGAAGTAATATAGGAGCCATCCCCTGGACAATATAAGACCAAATTAGTAAGATTAGAACCAGAAGGATCAATTCCAAGGAGAGACAGTAATTTAATTCTGGCTGTGTTATACATAGGGCAGTATGATAAGACATGCTCCACAACTTCAGCCCTATCACAGAGGCATAGTTGCTCATAAACAGGAGCCTCTTGAATCGCCCGTCGAGTAGTGCTGTGGGCAAGACATTGAAATGGGCTAGGGAAAAGACTCTTCTATACTTGGGGATGGTTAGAGTATAGAAATATGAAGCCATCCTCAATCCATAATTATTAGAGTGGCTGAAGCTCAAAGGGGAGCAGGTTTTGTTGGCTCTGGATCTTAAGTATTGCAAATCTATGTCCACAAGCTGTTGGACTACCCTACAACTGGGCGCCCTTGAGACCATAATCTCCCAGAACAGTGGTTCTCAACCTGTGGGTCGGGATCCCATTTGGGGTCGAACGACCATTTCACGGGGGTCGCCAAACAACGCAGTCCGCCATTTTTCCCCCCCTTTTCCTTAGCTGTGCTACTCCCTTTTATTCTATTGGCTTTTGAAAGCCAATAGAATAGGCTCTCTTGAATAGAGTCTAATTCTGTTGGCTTTCAAAAGCCAATAGGAATGGTCCAGGCTGTCTCTGCCCTGCTGAGCCCGCCAAAAGTCCCATTCTGCAAACGGTGCTGCACCCGTTGAGTAGTCCTCGACTTACGATCAGTTGAATAGTCCTCGACTTACGACCGGTTGGGGGTCGCGGCATTAAAAAGGTTGAGAACCATTGTCCCAGAGCATCCCCCGTGAAACCTAGCAAGTGGAGTTTCTTTGTCAGCTCCCTCTCCCAACGAGAAGCATGAGAGTCAGCAAACACCAGGGAGAGGTAGCTACCAGGGACTGGTGAACAGAGAACTGTGGGGCCCTTTTTGTTACAAGCAACTTGAAGAAAAGGAGAAAGCTCTCTGAAATATGTAGATAAAACCAGTCCTGCCTGAGGAGTTATTTTGGCCATCTCCTTTATCCTCCTACGATGCTAGCAGTTCTAGAGTCCAGCCCATCGCCCTTTTTATTCTCTCAATAAGCATCTGAATCTCATCTGGCATCTACAAACATTCCTGGAAATAAATTTTGGAAGTTGATGCTTCTTGACCAAACTACATAGGATTCGGTGATATATACCCAACACATGTGCATATAAAAATAGCAAACAAGGAGAACAGGAAAAAAAAAAGCCCCAGAATTGTTTCCAAGCAAGACTAAATAACACAGGTGGGTGATGTTTTGTTCCCAACAAAAAGCTTCTCCATTCATGCTGCTAAACTACGATTTACCTTCATACGGTGTCTTTTCAGGTCCTCGTACAACATAGTGCCTACAAAAACAAACACACACACACAAATATATTACACAAGTCATGTTTCGAATTTAGACGTGAGGAATGAGGGTGTCGTGTCCCTTCAGAAGATCCCCAGATGGAAATCTGCTCTGTTGCACCCGACGCCCACGAAGAAGACCTTGCTATAGCACAGCCTTACTTCTAAATCCCGCCGTTATTTCTGACTGCCGTTATATATCATGTCTGCTTCCCGGTTTCTTCTTGGTAAGGTCTGCAGATTGATCTGCAAATTTCACCGATAGTGGACGTGGGAGAGATGTTTTTAAAAGGCACTGTTAAGTAACACTCCCAACTTCCAACAGTGCGAAATAGACTAAGTGGCTGATGAGACGTTGGGGAAAGTGAGCCAGATCAGGAATCTTAGCCTCTAGAGCAGCGCTCCTCGACCTCTGTGGCTTGGTTGGGGGAGGGGAGAGGGGACCTGGGTCCCGTGTGCGTGCAGCCCTTGCACGAACGGTGGGCTGGCACGCACGTGTGCAAGTGTCTGCCAGCTCATTGCTCGCACAGGTTGAGCTGCGTGCGTGCATGCATACCTGCGCTCCGGCTAGCCACTCATGCAGCCCAATTCTGAACAGGCCACAGGCTGTTAGTGGGCTACAGCCCGGGGGGGGGGAGCCCTGCTAGAGAACGTCCCTACCACTTTTTTAAGGAGGTTCCATCTCTGATGCCTTTCAGGTTCACCCCCCCCCCCAATTCTTACCACTCAAGGATATTGGATGGCAAAGGCTCAGCACAAATATAAGGCACTGGATCTTTTTTGATGCGCAGATAGTCCTGCTTGAGTCGCTGGGTGGCCGTGGTAGAGGCGCGCTTGTTGCTGGAGTTGCTCATCTGGAGGCAGAAAGGGGGGGGGGGTGCATAATTGAACAACAACCAATGCAAAGAATTTTAGGCTCCACAAGCTCAAGAGAAGCTGACAACCAACCGCCTCAGAGTGGTTAGGAGAAATAAAGTTTTAATTGCTGTCATTCCCGCTCCACTGCCACCCTTCCAATTTTTGCTTAGGCTGAGTTTTCAGAGTTACACGGGGCTCTGCCCACCTTCACACAACCTACTAGAGACATTTGCTTGGATTGTGGATAACTGTAAGGACCCCTCTGTGCTAGAACTCCTTTCAAAGCGTGAAGAAAAACTGGATCAGTGTCACCACAAAGACCAGGAGACATTCAAGCATCAATAAGAACTCCAGCATCACCCACTCAAAAAATCCTCTTTTGAACCTGACCAGAAAGATTGGGGGGGGGGGGAGGCTGCAGTCCCAATAGCATCTTGGGGTACTGTCCCAGCTTGGGGAAGAAGGCAAATGTTTGGTAGACACCAGAAGCAACCCAGAACTGCAGTGCACTCATTTCTAAGCCAAACCAAGCCCAGTTCTTTTTAACATTTGCAGAGGGATGAGGAACAGGCTTCACATGTTTCGGTGAAAGATCGTACAACTACGGATCCAAAGACTGACCAAAGCAATCTTAGGATTTAAAAAAAAAAAAAAACGCAAAAGAAGAGAGGGTAATTCACCTTTTAAACTTTCTGTTGGAATAACAGTTGCAAGCAAGCCTGGAAACTCTAAAAACAGCCTCGTGTCCGAGTTGACAGTGCTAACCTAATCAGGACAAGTCATACGAGTGATTTCCTTCTAATCAACCAATCAATTTGATTGCTTGATCCTTCTAACCAGATGATGGTCATAAAAACAATTTCCCTCCAACCAGGGTAATAGTCGTAAAAATAATTTGCCCCCCTCATCCAGGAGCCACCTAAAGGCAATCTAAGAGCCTCATTTGGATAAAACCCCCAAACCCCTTCCAGTTTAAACACATTGAGCTCTCCTTCATCCCTGTTACACGATCCTCCTCTCCATCACTGCTCTACGCTTGCAAACTGGATCCAAATACCATGTCAACTTTGCATGAAACTTGCCCCAAATCTGTTTGCTTCCCACTTTTGCCTTGATCAATTCCTATCTCATCCAGGTACCTTCCAGAATTACCAAGCCAGGACATTCCACCATGACCTTGTTGACTAAGGATGACGGAAGGCAAAATCCAGTTCATCTCACCAGTTCCTTGCTTAGGTACAGCTGAATCATACATACAAATAATAAACCTGGAGGTCACAAGGGAGCTGAGGTCGACTCTAGGAAGCAGAGGCACAAATCAGTCTCACGGGACTGTTAGGAGGAAAAAAAGAAACTCTCTGCTGTGCTTAGATACAAACACACCCTAAATAATAATAAAAAAATAATATGTATTAATTCTTTTCCCTGGCACAAAAAGCCTGCCAGTTTAATTTCCAATAACAAGAGTCTTGGACTATTAGCGGTGGGGAAGTTTTCCGCAAAAGAAAAAGGCTGCCTTGTTAAATAGAGGCTTGGCTTAATTCCACAAAATCATTTTCCTTGTGAGAAAGGGAGAATTCCTTAGAGAGGGCCTATTGCATTTTGCAAGAAAATAATTTGGGATTACTCCACCATGTTGGCAGGTCGAGCTAATCTGGCGCACTTCCTCCCTACTTCTTATTTCTGCACTTCCTCCCCACAACTCATTTCTGCAGTTCTCTGCTACTGGTCTAATCTAACAAGGAGGTCATGACCTACTTCCACTTAAAATAACAAAGTTGGAAGGGACATTGAAGGTCTTCTAGTCCAGCCCCCTGCTCAAGCATTCAGATAAATGGTTGTCCAATCTCTTCTTTAAAAAAACCTCTGTGTTGGAGCATCATTCTACAACTTCTGGAGGCAACTCATTCCACTGATTAATTGTTCTAACTATCAGGAGATTTCTCCTTAATTCTAAGTTTTGATAGCTTTTCCAGAAAGAGAACTGGTCTCTCCCAGTGAGCAAAGGCTGGGGACAAACAAGAGGAGATGGCACCAGGCCCAATGTGACAGCCAGGCTGGAATGGTGACCCAGATGAAGGAGAAAAGCATTTCCTTTGTTTATCAAAGGTTAAACAAGGTTACATCAGACAAAATGTATTTGCGGCTATTAACTGGGACAACCTACACCTTTCAGAAACTGCTTTAGACTGTATTGCATGTCTATTACCAAGTCAATGAAAATCAGTATACAACTCCACCTGAGGCAAACTTAAGATTCCTTCCTAGTGACTGAAGGCTGTGGGGATCTGGTCAGTGAGAAATAAGCTGTGGCTTAGCCCAAACAGCCGCAGGTTTTGAGTGTGCTGTGTTTTGGGGATTCTCTTACGGTACTTCTGGATGGGGCAGAACTCCCACAATCCGAACAGAGATGCAGTTTAGGGATCTTCAATATTGGGCTTCTGCTGGAGAACCACAGGGCAGTTGAGGCTAGAGGGCCGTTATCACGCGTGTTAAATAATAATAATAATAATAATAATAATAATAATAATAATACCATCAAACATCTACTTCTGCCTATCCCAGGTCCTGGGTAAGGACTCGATAGGTAGACAAAATGCCAAATCCAGTCTGAACATCTGGCTGACTGTGCGATGATTGATAATAATAATAATAATAATAATAAGAAGAAGAAGAAGAAGAAGAAGAAGTAGTAGTAGTAGTAGTAGTAATAGTAGTAGTAGTAGTAATAGTAGTAGTAGTAGTAGTTGGAAGGGACCTTGGAGGTCATCGAGTCCAACCCCCTGCTCAGGCAGGAAACCCTATACCATTTCGGACAAATGGCTGTCCAGTCTCTTCTTAAAAACTTCCAGTGTTGGAGCATTCACCACTTCTGGAGGCAGGGTGTTCCACTGATTAATTGTTCTCACTGTCAGGAAGTTTCTCCTTAGTTCTAGGTTGCTTCTCTCCATGATGAGTTTCCATCCGTTGCTTCTTGTCCTGCCTTCAGGCGCTTTGGAGAATAGCTTGACTCCCTCTTCTTTGGGGCAGCCCCTGAGACATTGGAAGACTGCTTATCATGTCTCTCCTCGTCCTTCTCTTCGTTAAACTAGACATACCCAATTCCAGCAACCGTTCCTTGTGATCTGAATATGGGAAGGCCCTCGAAAGCCACCCAGGAGCTGCAACTGTTCCAGAATGCAGCAGTGCAACTAATTATAGCTGCATCTTGGTACACACGTAACACTTGTGCACTCCGAGTTCCACAGGCTCCCTAGCAATTGGCAAGTTTAAAATTTAATATTCAGTAAAGCCCTTCATGGCACAAAGCCAGGTTACTGCCTGTCTCCCAACTCATCCTGTGAGCTCTGGCTTTGGGTCCCCTTCTCTGAAACAGAGTCACTTCCTGCAGGAGCCTAAAAGCGCCGTTCTTCCCCGATCACCTGGATAAAGGGAACCTATCCAGAAGGAAAGGCTTTTGAATGGACTGCACAATAGGTGGCCTCCGTTACGGGGTTTCCCTTTATTTTTGTTCCTCTATTTTCCCGTTCTTTGGTTCCAGATGCTTGCTGGGTTTTGTTTTGCATTCTTTGGTTTTCGTGTTTCTACGCAACCGTGAGCCGCCAAAAGTTACTGTGTGAGTTGGGAGGCGTGTAAGTCCAAATAAATCAATTAGGGATAGCTCAGTGAATAAGCCACAACAGCTTAGCTGAGCCACTCAACCAAAAGCTCCAGCTTAGTTTAGCACAATATGTCAAGCCAAGACCAATTCACCTTGCTGTCTGCTTTTGCCCAGTGCCTGCACCCCCCCCGCCCTCCCTGCCACCCCAGATGCTTGTCTAGTGATATAAAATAGCTTTTATGACAGCCGGAGGAGACCACAACCACAACAGCCCCAGCTGTTAGCCGGGAATTATGGGGAGGGGAGTTTCAGCATCTGCCTCTCGGTGGGCAAGTCAAAAGCCCAGCTAGCAAAACCGAAGCTGCGGTTCCCCAAGGGCGAAAGCGGCGGGGGGGGGGGAATGTCCTCGTCACCTACCCAGGAGCCGTTTCGACTCCACGTGTTCGGCTTCCCCTATCAGGAGCCCCGCCCGGCTGCATTCACACAACCTGCCCAAACCCGGTTCCGGGATTCATTCATCTCGGCCACCCCCACCACCCCCGAACTACCAGCCCCAAACCCGCCGAGTAAGAGGGAAAGATCCCCACCCCGGCCTTGCTAAGGCAGCTCAGGCTGACCCCGACGGGACCAAGCACCATGGGGCCAGTAGTCCCCCACTCAATAACAAAAGGTCTCCCGGCTTACCTCTCTTTGCTAGGCTCGGCTCCTCCGGCTCCTCCGGGGCGGGGGAAGGGGAAGGAGGGCAGCTGGCGCCGGAGTCAGCGTCTCAACCCGGCGGCGGCGGCGGCGGCGCCTTGTCTCCTTCCGACGCGGCTCCCCGACTCCGGCCACCGCGACCGTCCAAGATGGCTGCCCAGGGCAGGCCCAAGTAGAGGCCGGCTTCCCTGCTTCTCGCCACTTCCGCTTCCGGCGGGAGGGGAAGGGCACTTCCGGAAGGCCTGACCAACGGCCAGGATGGAAAAACCGAAAGGCTAGGCCAGTTGCCATAGAGCTCCGCAGAGGGCGGGCTAGAGCGACGCCCAAAGCCGTGACGCCTTGTTGTCGTAGTTGGAATGAATGAGCCGCTCGAGTGTTTTTTTTTCCAAGGCGGATGGATGAAGGGGCGGAGCAATCTGCCCGCCTCTTTCGTCGTTGGAAGACTAGACTGCGCTTGCGCGGGCCGCTCGGGGACGCTTTTGGTCCTTTTCCCGCGCTTTTGGTCCGTTGCCGTGGCAACCGCACGGGGATGCGCCCAGGATGAACAGAGAGGAGTCTAACCTTAAAAAGTCGAGAATAAACACTATATTTAATTACCTACTATTTGTAGCAATGAATCTTTTCGACGCCCACACGCGGAAAATATACAAAGTGACAAACACTTTTACTTAAAGGTGCTTGTGCTCCTTCAGACCATCTTTTTCAAACTTTTATATATATATAATTGGATAGTAGCTAAAATGTAACTCCATTTTGCATAGAAATAAGAAAAAAAAATAGAAACATATCGGGAGTATTACCTTGAGAGGGTCTGTTATAGTTAAGACGGGGGCTTATAAAGTATGTATGGGGGGGGATTGGAACATGCCCAGAGACAATTGTGATTGGAGGAGAATGTAAATCTACCAGTATTAAAATAATATGCATATTATTGTGTGCTGGTGATAGATGTAGACTTTTACCCAATGCATCTTAAAAGCTGCAATTTTCAAAGGCTTCTATAGAGAAAGAACACAATGGGCTGTAGTTTGGCTTCAGGGCCAAAAAACAAAAACAAAACAGCTTTCTAGGTTTCTGTAAGAAAAAGAGAAAATATTCTAAACAGCAAATTAATAGGAATATTTTGGGCATGAAAATAAGGTGACCAACTTTTTTGCAATGAAAAGGAGGACACAAATAAATTGAAGAAAAAAATAACCTAAATAAAAGAAACATTGTATTTATTGCAACAGTAATACAGAATACGCTATAATATGATAAATGCATAATAAAAAACATTTGTAACAATAAAATTTTATATTGTAATTATGCTTACATGCCTATTAATTATTATTTAAATGAGTACTGCACGGGGTGGGTGGCAGAGGCAGGTGTTGTGGGCCAGGCGCTCCAGAACGGCCACGTAGGCATGTAGGGTGAGGTGGTGGCAGCGCAGGTCAGCACTGCGTAGACCACCAGCTGGCGTGGTCCATGGAAGGTCAACTGCCCGCCGCGCTCCCGCTCACAGCCGCCCCGCCAGCACCGCTGCCCTGCCGTGGAGAGCCAACCCCGCGGCTTGCAAAGCACTAGCCGCGCCGGCTCCGGCCCTGCAGCCACCCCCCCAGCCGCCTCCAGCACCACCGACCCCAGCACCACCGCCCCCACCCTGCGCATCCCCGTAGAGCCAGCCCCGCGGTCGCGCCAGCTCCGGCCCTGCAACCCCCCCCAGCTCCCCCCTCCAGCACCACCGCCTACCCTGTGTATCCCTGTGTAGAACCGAACAGGGAAGATCAAGAGAAACTTACCGCTCCAGTCTCCTCCAGCTATCTTCGGAACTAAGTAGGAGATGGTGTAGTTGGGTAGCAGTGAGGGGTGCAAAGTTCCTGCAAAGTTTGCTGACCGGATGTTTTGGCGCGCTCAGCAGCAATTCCTATTGGCTTTTGAAAGCCAATAGGGGGAGTAGCACAGCTCATGCAAAAGTTGAAAAAAACCATCAAAAAAGGGTCCCGAAACGCCTTCTGAGTGTTCTATGAGTAAAAAAAAGCCCTGCAGATTAGTCTTCAAATATGAAAAAGGAGGACATCTAGTCTTCAAATATGGAAAAGGAGGACATCTAGGAGGACACTTTTTGAGGGAGGACAAAACTTAAAAAAGGAGGACTGTCCTCCCAAAAGGAGGATAGTTGGTCACCTTAAATTGAAAAGGAATGTTGAAAACTGATTATTAAAGAGGTTTTTTTTATTATTTTTGGAAAGGAGGAAGGAACGACATTATGATTTCGTCTGACAATTTCTCTCCCTCCCTCCTTCCTTCTCCTCTTATTGGTTCACTCATACCTTCTCTTTCACCAAGGTTAGTTCTAAATTTCTGTACAGATCATGAAGGTAAGTAAATACTCCAATCTGCAACTCTGTGGGTAACAATTTAGGCAGTCAGCCCTTCCCTCGCTTCCCACTAATCTGAAAACGTACCTACCTACTTACCTACCTTCCTTTCTACTACAATTTCGTTGCATTGGCCTAGTATGACAATCATGTGTCAGGATGAAAAGGCATCAGAGTAGCTTAATGAACACGGCTTATTTCTCACCACTATCCAGCTCACTCCTTGGGATAGCTAATGCTGCTTGACAGGTTACAGTCATTTCTCTGGTATTTTAATACTGCCATTAGGTGATCCCATGTGCATCGCCAGGGCACTCGGGCTCATTTGAAAAAAAGATTTCAACATGTCTTGTTTTCTCCTGCATGCAGATTAATCAAACTACAGGATCAGGCTTCACTCCGCTTCCTTCTTCTCTTCAGATCAGCCTGGCCATTTTGGGGATGGATATACTTTGCCAAGGCAGAGAACAATTTGGGATTTCGTCTTTTCCTTCTTCAGGGATCCATTCCAGGTGGAGAGTCGACTGACATGGAGTCGAAGTTGAAGGTAAGCAAAACATCGTTATAATTAAACTGAGGTTGAATTCTCCTTCAGTTTGAGCTCAGCTCCTGAGGAATTCATGGATTATAATTGTGACTATCTACACGTTGGTCTGCTGGTTCTTCGTACTGAAAAGAATCAGCTCGCAGCAAAACAGCTTCTCAGATTTTGATGGAAATAAATGTTTAATCAAAACATTTAAATAAATTAAATCTAAATGTTTATTCACTGAGTGACACCCTCACAGATATTTCCAGTCTTTTCCAGTCCAAACAAGTGCCCTGAGTGGTCATTAGCTTTTGCTCCATTGAAAGAAATGGGGAGGCAGTGGCAGTGATTGATGTACAGACACTGTTTTGAATTCGCTGGGACTGAGAATTACATTTGGTGGGAGAACCTTCGCCTAGTTTTGTTTTGTTTCGTTTTGTTTTGTGCACCAAGCTTACATAATACAGAGAGGAACAAGGCCAGGAGAGAAAAGTGATAGTGAACCCAAACTTCAGGATATTTAAATAAGGCAAAAGTCCAAATGTAAATGAGTTAATCAGAATGGTGTTTCGCAATTCATCAAAACATTTCATAATTCTGAAGAACGGCTGGAGTCATCGAGAGCTTTCCAGCTTTGCTGAATCAGGAATCAGATTTGCAAAAGTATAAGAGCCCCTTCATATTTGTCTAGTTATCAGCTGTGAGTCAGCAGAACTAAGGAAGAAATAGCTCTAAGAATACGCAAGAGAACCTGGGTTTAAAGAAAGTGTCAGATGGCATCACAGCAAAGGTCATTTTGTCTGGCACTGTTTCTTAAGGCCAGTCAGATGCCAGCCAGATGCTTTCAAGTGGTCAACAGATAGGATTAAAAGATACAACAATCTTTTTGAGTTTCTTACTGAAACGCTGTTCAGGGAAAGTTTGGAATCCTTACTTTTGTCCAGGACATTTGCCCCTGCTTGGAAGATAATCCTACCTATTCTGAAAGACTATTTATTAACATCTCCAGTCTTTTCCATTTGCTTTTCATAATAAACTGTTGCCTTTGCTCCGATGTACCTAGGTTTCTGATCAAAGAAAGCTGGAAACAGCAATTTCTATTCCTAATTACTGTTGGCTGATTTATCGGTTGGGGCCCTGTGATACACAAATGAAATGAAATAAAACAAATAACATATTGCTCAGGGTGCAATTTCCCAAGGTTTAAAAAGAGAAGATGCAAAATTGACCTTTGACAAAATAGAGCCATTGCTTATGCTAGCTAGTCTATGACCGTAATTATTTCATTTGAGAGCCATTGCTATTCGTTCTAAGATTAATTCCTGTGGATGCTTCTCATCATGAATAACAATCCTTCCTATATGACAGTCTCCCCTATGATTAAATTCTCACCAGTAGGAATTATTGTCCACCAGTATGGAAGGCAGTGGTTTGAAGAAGGCTGCTGTAAGCATTTTAATGAGTTATAAAAAAACATTCACATTCAGTTGAATGTGTTGGGGCTGGACTCGATGACCTCCAAGATCCCTTCCAACATCATCATCATCATCATCATCATCATCATTACTATTATTATTATGGATTATCGCACAGTCAGCCAGATGTTCAGACTGGATTTGGCATTTTGTCTACCTATCGAGTCCTTACCCAGGACCTGGGATAGGCAGATGTGGATGTTTGATGGTATTACAGATATCGTTGCAGGATGGACGCAGTTCCTAGTAAGGCCGCCTTTTGCAATTGACTAATAGTGAATTTGTCAATGCCAATGGTGTTCAAGTGGTGCTCCAGTTGTTTTGGGATTGCACCCAAGGAGCCTATTACTATTATTATTATTATTATTATTATTATTATTATTATTATTATTATTATTATTATTATTATTATTTCTTGGACCATGTAAAACATTCTGCTCTGCTTGCCCAGTTGTATGTATGACATGTGAAACTCCTTGATGGAAGAAGCAATGAAAAACATATACTGGTGCCAGAACCTGCAACATACACCTGGCTAAACCTGGCTCTCTTTCCTGGTTTAAATCATCTTTGTGGAACATGGGATTAACACTCTCTCCAGTCCTTAGGCGATTCTTCTGAAAGACACAAGGAATCATGCTTTGCAGCCTCTCCCTCACCTGCACTTGACTGAGGTGTAATTTATAATTCAGTACTGAAGGCTCTCTTGGACGCAGCCTGGAAACAAAGGGAATTATATATTTTAAAAACTAATATTCTTTCTGGATTTCTGCATGAAAGCAGGGAAAGAAAGTAAAGGCTGAAACACAGTGCCAGCAGAAAACCCC